AGCCTTTCCACAAAGGATCACGTAGGCTCCCAGGTGGGCAGCATGACACTCCAATTCTCTCACCCAGTCCCTGCGGGTAAAACTGTATCAGATTCATCTGAATCACCCAAGCTTCTGAAAGGCTGAGTGAAGTTAGCACACCACCTTACCTCTTCCTCCGTCCCCTGCAGACAACCGTCTGTCCTCAGACAACAGAAGACAGGCGTGAGCCCCATTGTCGATCTATTCTTAACCCACTCGCAAAAGCTCACCGCTGTCCTGGCATTGCAAAGATATTTTGGTGCTGTTGGTTGTCTTTACAGGAGAGGAACAAGCCTCCCGGCTTACTCATGCTAAACTACTGTATTAGGTTCTTCACCACAATGGTAGGCATGCTCGAACAGGCCGCTCCATAAAAATATAAGAAGCTACTGAGGCATTTTACAATGACAAATAAAGATAACGTGCAGATATGCAGACAGCGGATTTACTCTCGTGAAACATAAGGAGGTTGTAAACTGCATTTTCCCACAGCTGATAGCAGTTTATGGCTGTTAAGGATTTACTGGAAGCTCACATAACACGGCTAGGAAATACAGCCATGTTTAATCATTTGTCTTAAAGACAGCACAGGTGTATGTATGCTATATATGTATATACACACATATATATGTATATAGACCATGAGAGAGAGAGACTGACTCTCTCCTGTACAGAGCACAGATTTCCCATGACGTTAGTTTGCTGAGGGCACACATGGGTAAAGACAGTTGGCTTGGCTCATAATTACTACAGATCAGTGATCATTAGCACGTCCACGCTTGCCCACACACACAAAAAAATCCCACTCAGAAGTCTGTTATGACTGATTTTATTTTGCCCGTGATGACCTTTTCAAGACAGCATAAGAAATTTGTGCAGCTGCTCCGGTTGAGTTCAAAGCAACAGCTAATGGCACAGTTTTAGCAGTAAAAGAGCCTCAACTGCTACCCTCTCTCCCTCCCAGAGGAGTGGCGTGGACCACAATCTGTATTTGACTTAAAGTAGAATGTGGCATCCACTCTGATTGGTTTCTATAAAAGGGGGTAACCAGGGGTAGGCAACTCCAGGCCTCGAGTGCCGGCATCCTCACTCACGTGATATCTAAAACCTGCAGGACACCGGCACTCGAGGCCTGGAGTTGCCTACCCCTGCTTTAGAAGAAAGAATGACAAGCAAAACATTTTTAAAGTCATTTCATAGTTTGATTTAAAACAAACAAACAAAAAAAAGCTAACGCTTTTCACATCAAACTCTCAAACTCACTACATTAAAATATGAGGCCATAATGGCACAATATCCCCAGGAAAGCTTTCCATCCTCCCCATTAGACTGTGGCTTTGGTAGATGCATTTTCCATTCAAGCCAACAGTCGTTTTCGTTTCAAACTTGGCTGCTCCTCACTTATCTAATTACTTGGAAAAGTTCCCACCTAAATAATTACCTGAACATCCACCTGATCCACAGCCGTCTCCCATCTCCTAGGAAATGATGCATGAGACGTTTGTGTTTGCTTCCAATGAACACGAGTGACAAACTTTCCAAAAGATTATAAAAAGGCTTGGGATATAGCATTGAATATGAACATACAGGGTGAGAAATTTCTAATTTGATAAAACACGTAATGCTTGTCCTGTGGGATCAGTTTCTTCATCTTAAAGCTGTTTTTATATTAACAAAAGATCAAATGTCACTGTGAAACGTTTAAGTAGCGATGAACCCTACTGAGAATTCTTTCAGCACCTTTAATGATAATGTCTAATGATGTCACTCCTCATTGCAGATCAGAGCAAATTTTACATCTCCATTCCGGACAAAGTTTAGCTTTTCTGACTCTTCATTCAAAGTATTTGACCAAACTTTAATCCAAATGATCTGAAATGTATGAGCAGTTTGCAAAAAGGCACCACAGACACCAGGAAGAACACTGCAAGCTCCAGAAACACCCCTGCTAGGTTTGAGGTGGATCAGATGAACAGGAGTCGAGATAGCAGAGGAAAAGGCAAACAGATGGACGTACAGAGGTTTCTCTAATTATTAGCAAGATCTAACTGGCTTGGGGAACATTAAAACTATTGGTAACACTGTAACAGGACTAATCTATCCCGTTGTACCAAATTTTACAGTTGCTTCAGTTCATCAACGTTTTCCGGCATTAATTTATCCCCCGCTCTCTTGTGTGTGATTCCTGTTTCAGTCAGGCTGACGACTTCGAATCTTTTCTTTTTCAGCTATTCTGTCTCGATTTAGTGCTGTGCATGGGATCGTTGTCCTGTTCCAGGAGCCAATTTGGGCCAAGCTTTACCTGTCAGATAAATGGCTCACATTTGACTCTAGAATACTTTGGTACACAGAGGAGTTTGTGGTCGACTCAATGAAGTACACAGGTCCAAAATCATCACACCACCACGGTGTTTGACCGTTATTAGGCATTTGTCTTGATATGCCATGCTTAGTTTTCACCAAAAGTTGAGCTCTCTATTAGGAGAAAAACATCTCCAGTTCTAGGTTTGTTCAGATGTAACTTTGCAACTCAAACCTGTGTTGCCACGGTCTTTTCAGGGAGACGTTTTCTCCTTCCATACAAAATGTACTTTTTCTTTCTCTAGTTGTACAAGTGCACTAGAGTTCAACATGTTTCTCTGTGCATCACATGGTCTGGCCTTGGGGTGATTTTGTTGGAACGCCTCTCATGGGAAGGTTGAGGCATTGTGTAGATGTTTCAGACCAGCAAACTGCCAAAACTTCTGCTTGTGTACTTGAGTTTTTCACAGACTCCTGTTTTTTATAGAACTTTCTCAACTTGTAAAGTGATGTTGTTCCTATTCACTTATTACTTCAGCTTGATGGTGTTCACAACAGCGGTTCGAACAGTGCTTTTAATAAAAGCTAACAGCACTTCTTCATTGAAATGACCTGGATAGTTACCACAGCAGCAATTAAAACACAAATCTTTTGACTTTTTTTGCCATGATGCCAGGTCTCTCTTGGAAATGAGATTTTTAATCTCAATGAGATTTTTACCTGGATAAATAAAGGACTAATAAAATAATAAAATAAAAACAAATCGAGGCCAGTATGAAGGACTGAATGTGTCCCTCAGTGACTGAATGGCAGAATGTAATCTTTGTATTAGCACTTGCTGTAAGCCATTTAAATGGTACACTGTGTGAGCGCAACACACATCACTTGTACAGTATAGAGTTAACAAGGTGAAAGAGAAGGAGGTCTAAGATCTTGGAGTGTGTTTCTTTCACTGATTATTAAATCGATTATGATGAAGCGAGACAAAGAAAAAACACACCATGAACTGCAAGGTTGGAAATTTTAATTCTTGCAAAGTTTTTTTCCTAAAATGGGAGCAGGTTTGTTTTTTTGTTTTTAAATCATAGTTGAAAACATACAGAGAAAAGTTTGGCAACTCAGAACAGGAACAAATGAGTGACTCAATGAAGAGGAAATAATACACTGACATTTACAACAGAATACAGTACAAGTTGTTGAAATTATCCATCAACAAGAAGAACAAAAGTGTCACAGCTGCAGCAGTTTACTGCCATCATGATCAAAGCTGTATTTGTCAAATTTGAAAAATGTCATATTGGAGAGGAAGAAAAAACATTAGAGAAAAAAGTAAAACTCTATGCAGAGGTAGAGCTCAGTGCACAAGGCTATGACACACACACACACACACACACACACACACGCACACAAACACACAAAACCGGTCTTTGCTATCAGAGGGAGGGGGTACGTTCTCCACATCAGGATTCACCACTGTCAGCCACGCGGCTTCTTTCTGCGTGCAGAGAAAACCACACTGGGCGGTATGTACACACACATACAATAAATAGGATATACAATCTTTCAATATCTCACAACAGCTACTCCAGCATCGTAACTTCCCCCAAAGATGCATTTTGCACTTTTTATTTACCAATCATTCAAAGCGCCACATGCACACACAAAAAAAAGCACTTCTCTAAGATCAGACACCACATCAGAGCTTCCTTCATTTTTTCCTCCATGACTTTGGTACAGTTCTGCCCCTCTGCACGCCTGCAGGCCAGACTGATTTTCTGGTAGCTTAGAAAAGCAAAGTAACATAAATCACACTCCTGGAGGCTACCGATGAAATGCACAAGAACAAACCGATGTCACATTTGAAATCAGAACGCGTTTTCCCCCTGATCTTTTTATTTCATTAAAAAGAAATAAAAGTAAGTCCTTAGATTTTTTTTAGATTACATCAAGATTGTGTCTATTCACCGATTTAGATTTAGAGTCTGGTTGATTGTAAGGCAAACAGCCGGTCACATGAAGTTCATTTTTATCCTATCCTCATACACCCAGAACAGCAACTGAACTCAAATCTGTAGACTGGCCTTTTTTCTGTTTTTAAAGGAAAAACCTCAAGGGGAAAAAAAAAGGAGGAGGAGGAGGAATCAGGAAGGGAGCCGTTTATGAAAATACTGTTTATGACAGTTTTACTAATGTTTCTGTGAGGCTGGCAAAATGCTGCAAAAGGTTATCAGATGACTGTTGATGTAAGCGAATAATATTGTATAAAAAAGACATTTTGAACGCCAGTGCTTAACACCACCAATCAGTCGTAAAAGAAAAACGTGCTTCCATTTATTCGTTAGATGGACAGCGTGCCCAATCAGGACCCAAAATGAACTTTTTAACTCACCAGCTACGAGTGAGAAGTGGAAAAGTCGTCAAGAGGGAATTTTCTCACAGAATCGCCAATTAGTTGGTGTAGACATGAAAAGTGTTACAACTTGGAGCTGAGCATTTGGACTGACACCAACTTCCTTTTCCCCATACACTTCTGTGCAACTGGACTCCTTTTTGCTACGAGACGAAATGCCCCCTGCTGGCTATGAGGTAAAATGCAGGTTTAAGGCACAAAGTCCATCTTTTAAATACAGTCTGAATAAATCTTTTTTTTGTGGGTTTAACTTTTTTTAAATCTTTAAGTCCAATTTAAAAAAAAACAAATTCAAGTGGAAATTGATACAAATTAAATTTGAGCCAAAGACAACAGGAGGGTTAGTGATGCGTGTTAACAGAATAAGTCTGCCAAATATGAATTCTCAGTTCAGACATTATTATTATTTAACGACATACTGAGTGATATTTTTGACTCACCTGATGACCTTTTACAACATCTTGCCAATTTTACAGCATCAGAGGAAACAAACATCCTTATTTTATCAAAAACACATGAGTAGGGTAACGTTTCACAGAGAAGACTTACAAACACAAAAAAATCATAAAAATAATAATGAAATGAAATAGTCATGTGTTATCTCCATACCACACACATTATGTCACATTAAAAAAAATGGCATTTTCGGCATTGTGAAATTGTTGACAAGAGACCAAAAAATCTTCAGTGGTGTTTCCTATTTAAATCGTAACACTTGACTCTCTTCTTTGCTTGATTTGTCATAGAAACACATATTTAGACATATTTGCCCCTCCCCATTTACAGTATAAACTGACCCATATAAATATTCTAACCTTATTCTTTTTGTATTTTTTTTAACATTATGACCTCAGTTTACAGATTTTTGCACACGACGGTGCTGTATTTACACTGTACAAAGACAATTTAGCAAAATGTATACAATCTATCATTTTGTAAGCAGTGTTTCAATCATCGCTCGAAGCTTTTTCATTCGTCTCAGTCTGTGACGACCCTGAAGGTTCATGCTTTTAGTTGGCATTTTAATGTCAATGTTTTCGCTTGTGCTGTTACTTTGTAAGTTGGAAGAACCGTACAAAACGCTAGAGGAAAAAAAATACTTCAGACTTATTTGTTCTTTTTTTTTCTCCAGCAGAGAGGGGAGAAGTGTTTAACTAGCTTATTACAGGCACCACAGGTCAGGGCAATGGCAGTGAATAAAGTACAACAGAAGCTCTACAGTATGTCTCGTTTCTGTCTTCCAGTAAATCTCCTCCCATGTGTGCGTGCTTTGTTATATTTAATCACAACAACAAAGCGATGCATGAATATTGCTTTATCTGAATGGTTGCTGGGTGGCCGTACTGTCAGAGATACTATTCTGCAACTGGATGCCTACAAGGTGAATAAGTGCCCTTGAGCTAAAAACGGACTTGTCTCGTTGAATGTCAGTTATCCTGATGAAAACTTCAGTCAAATGGTCCCCATCTGAGACAATGCTCAGCGGATTCTGTTTGTCAAGGAGGGCTGAGGATATGTAGTCCACGTGTCAACTGTACTGCTAAGCTAACTGTGAAATGTCTTTCTTTTGTATGCGCTTGTCTCTGCGAACAGAGGGAGCTGCTGTGTGGGAATGCAAAAGAACAAAAACACCCAACAAAACACAAACTAACTGAGAAATTGAAGTAAAGTCTGAAATGTGTCTATAAGCTGTCAAACGATCATCTCATGCTTCAGCTAACGTACTGACTGAACCAGAAGATTAAAATCAAAGGAATGTACACGGCGTCCCCTCCAGCAGCTGTACAAGCACTTGAGCATTGGAGGGAATTATGGAGCGCCGCTGCCGCTGTTACGTCCTGTATTCTGCTTTTTAAGCGTGTTCCTATTTTCATTTCTGGACTTCACACAAGTCTCTCCACTTCTGTATTTCCACCTGGCTGCTTATCTTCTGAAGTTAGGTGGTCTTCATTCCAACAGCGTTCAGTTTGGTTCAGCTTAGCTCCGTTTGGTTCGGTGCAGGCAGGAAACAGGACTTCTTTTATGTACAACAACCAGTCTGGATGCAATAACATTTGTAATAGTGCCAGATTGTTGAAGGGGCGTGTGTATGTGTGAGGAGATTCCAGACTGACACTGATCCACACGACTGCTGCCCACCTGGTCTGCCTGCATACTAGGCAGAAATACAGTACAGGTCTAAGATGCATTCCTCTGCAGACAGCCAGTGTTAGGAAATGATGGCCGGACACCACCGCACCACTGTTAGGTTGTCTGCGCTCACCGAGCGCTTCTTAGCTAGTTTCCTCAAGTCTTTGTACTTGTCATCACACAGCCGTGAGATGGCCTGCAAGTCAAACAAAAGAGCAAGTGAGATGGAGCCGGGGGTGCCTTCCTATGTTTTAGTTGGAGTGACTACAGAACATCTTTGCCTGTGTGTGTGTGTACCAAACACATAGTGTGTTATGTGTAAGTAGTGGTTACGACACCACAAGTCTGAGATGGGCTCACAAACCAAACGCGCTTAGAAACATTTCATTTAAACTGTGCTTTGTGCAGTTCAGGTGAGAAAGTGACAATAATGACCTCTCAATCACACCAGAGTTTCTCTCTTATTGTCCTGCTCAACTCAGGTGGGAATGGGAATTTTTTCAAAATCACAAAGACACGTGGGTTCACTTTTAGCAGTCTTTTAAGTAAACTGCTTTTTCTTTTGGGGGTTATTTTTGGACATTACATAACTAGATTAATGTTGAGGAATGGTCTCATCTCCAAATAAATTAATCAACCAATTCCACTCGTCACATGGAGACGTCTCACCTTCAGCCAGCTTGATGTTTAAAACTCTAAAACTAAATGGAATGCAGCCGTTATTAACACTGGTATACCTGCTGTAAAAAGTTTGTTTTGCTCCAACAGATCAAGCAATGGCATCAATGAATGAAACACTAACAGCAGTAAGGCTGCAGGACAGGAAGGAAGAGAGCGAAGCTACCTGCACAGCAGCACGTCCCTGCATCCTGTCCTTCACCCGGCAGGAGATCAACATTTATGTTTTTGTAATGATCAGAAGCTCGTCAAAATACCAACTACCCAAATTACCTTGGGTTTTCTATTCCAGGCTGAAATAAATTGATATTTTTCTCTTTTTTTCTTGTTTTACCTGAGCTCCAAAAACATAAACCTATCTCTAGTACTTCAGCGCGCTTCTCACCTCTAGTTTTTGCGCCTTGTCCCTGCTGAGAGGCTCCAGGGGGAAGCTGAGGTTATTGGCCTCAGCAAGCGAGCGCAGGTCAAAGTAATACTTGGCGTAGACGCTGGACGGCACGTTGATGTTGAACTGCAGCAATTCCAGGAACTGACGCTCCAGCTCATTCCTTTTGCCATAAAAAAGAAAGAGAAAACGTGTGAGTTAGTTAATTAGTCTTATGCTATTTAAATAAAGGTTAGTTTGATTGGTAAAGCCAACATCTCACAGAGTGGCGTAGGCTGCACTGAGCCTACGCCACCAAACATAAGCCTCTTCTTTATGATAAAAGGGAATGCTATCTAAGCAAGGAACACTGAGCGTTATGTGTAAGAAAGAATTAATCCCACATGAAAGTGCTATTGTCATGCAGTGCCTGTGCTCAGCAGCTCTGTGATCCTCGGTGCAGCGTGATGACAGACGCTTTCATCTGTTACTCTTCAGTTGTGACCAAATCCTTCTGCACTGTAACCACTAGCCATCTCTTCTTCCTACCCTTTGTTGCTCACCCACACATTTTCACAGCCACGCAGCAACAGACGGGCTAAATTTAGGCTCTGCTGTAGCCAAACTCTGCCTAATAGCGCTGCTTTTTCCTCATCTTTCCTCATTCAGCCTGTTTTCATCTGTTTCTTTTTGTGTTGCTCTGCTCCTCAGTGTTCTCCCAAGACGTTTCTACTGTTCAGTCAGTGGGTGGAACGTGAAATTTAGCAGGCTAGGTTCCAGAACATGGCTTTGAACGGACTCAAATTGACCTTCTGAGGAAATCTCTGGTCAAATCAAGAGCCACAGTCCGGTAAATTGCCATATGGGAGCACAGCAGATGTGCATACTGTGCTGCACTCACTGGAGAGAATCCTGAACAGGTGGATTACGCTCATTGCCCTGTGAATCTGAGCTCAAGGACAAGAATAGACATCCACTGATGCAGAAAAGTGTGAAAGCAGGAGGAGTGAGAGGTGGCGTCTACAGCACCGAGTCCCTCCTCAGAATAATCCACACAAGTGGATTTGAGGTTGACGTGGTAAATAAGACTGAGTTTTCTGACCTCATGCTTCAGAGGCATCTTCCCCGTTTTGCTCCAAATGCACCACAATCTAAGATTAAGCATTAAAATGAAGCTGACATTTTTGTCCTGCAAACCCAGAAAACTGTGAATCTCTCACTGTCAACTAGTTAGAAACTAACAAACCATAATGTTTTTAAGGCTTAATGACGTGATACCATTACAGGGAGTGCAGAATTATTA